GGTCGGAGGTGCGGGCACCCGGGTGGTCAGAAGGGTTGGGCAGAGAAGATGGCCCGGGGGTAAGGGGTGCGGGCACCCGGGGTGGTCAGCGGGGTTGGGCGGGGAATCCAGGTACCCGGGGTTTGAGGACCGGGTGCCCGGGGGTGACGGATTTGGGCGAAAATTCGTGGGAAAAAGAGAGAAATTGGTGGATTTCGTGGAGGGGAAGGTGAAGTTGGATGGGTGGAAGTCTAGATCCACTTGAAACCAAAAAAATCCATGGATCAAATCCAACAAAACCTCATCAAACCAACAAATCACAAAAAATGGGGCTATTTTTGGTGGGGAATTTAACAAATCACCAAAAATGGGGCTATTTTTGCTGAGGAATTTTCAAAATTGGGGAAGAACACAACATAATTAGGCTAGAGAACAAGAAGGGGACTCTAATTTCGTGAGAAACCATGGCTCATGATACCAAAATGTTGTAGGGTGGAACCCTAGATGGAGATCTTTCACGAATTGGAGGGGAAATCCCCAAGAACAAGAAGAACACAAAGGCGGAAAACAAGAGGAACACTCAAATTGACTTGATCCAATCACACATGTGCTAGATCCAATCACACAAAGAGAGATACAAAGGTCCAAATCCAACACAAAAAGATACAAGAGGTAACTAGTTCATCCCAATCCTATGAGGAAATAGGTCTTGATGATCCTATGATAGGGATCCTTCTCCAAGAGGAGGGCTTGATCTCTAGGAGAAGGTCTAGATCTCCAAAAGAAGGAAGATGAGCAAAGCTCTCTCTTTGTCTATCAAATACTTTGCTATCCCCTCTAATGAGCAAGGTGAGAAGTATATATAAGCTAGGGACGAATTGGGGGTAAAACAAGGGTACATAGGTAAATTATCCAGAAATATGCGTAGCTACGGTGGAGGGTCCGGGCACCCGGGGTCAAGGGGTTCGGACGCCCGAGGGTCACCTGGAGACGGAGGGCCGAGCACCCGGGCGTCCAGGGGGCCGCGCCCTTGGCGGCTGGCGGGGCCGGGCACTCGCTGGTGACGGTGCGGGCACCCGGGGGTGGATGGTGCGGGCACCCGGGGTGTCCATAGAGCTCTGATGCTTCACGTCTTGGGGTGCTTTTTCCTCCTCCAAGGAAGGGCAGTACCCAAGCACCGGTCCACCCACTATCAAATTATCAAAGTAACGAACGCGAATCATATGAGCGTGATGAAAACTAGCTTGACGATAATTTCCATGTGTTCTCGGGAGCGATTCCTTTATGTAAGAGTTTGTCTAGACTTTTCCTTTGCTACAAAAAGGATTGGGCCATCTTGCTGCACTTTATTTACTTTTATTACTTGTTACCCGTTACAAATCACCTTATCACAAAACTATCTGTTACCGATAATTTTAGTGCTTGTAGAGAATACGTTACTGAAAACTGCTTATCATTTCCTTCTGCTCCTTGTTGGGTTCGACACTCTTACTTATCGAAAGGACTATGATAGATCCTCTATACTTGTGGGTCATCACTTCTCCCTTCTTGGATGGTGTAGATGTTCTCTTGCGCTTGAACTCCTCCTCGTTGTTGATGAAGCTTCGGTAATACCTATACATGCACACGAGAGAGATGTCAAGTAGTATACCATCCTCGAAGCGGTCAAGTGAACATGTGTAAAGGAGATGATTAACCTTTACGTATGTGGAATAGATGTGGCACGTGTCACTTGTCGAACAGACTCTTGATATGGTAATGTTCATAGGATGCTCCGCATCATAGATGCTTTTATTAAGAGATATTCTTTCGGTATCAACAGCTATCCAAAGAGAGTGTGTATGGGTTCATTGTATTTGGTGCAAAGTGACCTACTACGGTTATAGTAGAATTTAATTCCTAGTTTGAATGGTCTAAACCTTGCGCTTGACCGTAGAGGTCGTTAAATAAAATATGGATATTCTGGTCTGATGATTACAGTTGCATTTTGGAAACTTTCAAAGGAAATAACATTTTTCAATGCCCACTGGGAAGTACTCAAATAGACCTGGCCATGGGCAGCTCGGCCCGGCCGGCCCGACCCGACCTGGCCCGAAAAAGTTAGACCCGGCCCGGCCCGACGCTGCTCCCGGGCCGGGCTCGGGCCTAGATTTTGAGCCCGGTTGCCTGGCTGGGCCGGGCCTGGGCCCGGCATTTTTGCAGTTTTCTGAAGGGGCCTGGCCCGAGGCCCGAGGCCCGGCAGGCTTTTGCATGTTCGGGCCGGGCTTGGGCCCAAAAACTAGGCCCGATGGCCGGGCCGGGCCGGGCTCGGGCCCAGGTTTTTTGGCTCGGGCTTGGCTAAGCCCGGCCCGAAGCCCGGTCTGGCCCGATGTTTGGCCAGGTATATACTCAAGCGTAGCCTCTCTTTAATTTTTTTAAAATAAAACACCAGGCTAACGACTACTAATAGTGGGAGTAAGGCTACTCATAGTGAAGAGCATGTGATACTAGTGTATAATAGTATTTTTATAGTGCATAATATCACATAATAGTACCATATATGTGTTTAGATAAGTTTATTTATTAGCATGCATAATGCATAGTAGCATAGCATTTATTATGATACGATATCTATCTATGTTACTCCAATTTTCTTTTTTTATTTAATTTTCTATCATGTCAGCGTTTTTTATAGTCCCAAGTGTATGATACTGATTATGTTACCTCTACTATGATCAGTTTAACTTAGCTAATAACTAGTGTAGTCAAAGGCAAAAATTGCTTATGTGACATGTATTTAATAAGAAGAGATGTGTTTATAGTAACATAATATGTTATTTTAACATAACACTTCCCAAAAAAATGAGTCTACAAGCTAATAAATGAAGACAAATATGACAGTACTACGAGCATTGTTAATAGTATAGCTAGCAGCTGGCTATAAGCCAGTGCCATGTCATCTACAATCCATCTTATATCCAACATGTACAATAGTAGATCAAAAGAGTGTACTATTTTTTTTGTTATGTGGCACACCTTTCATTCTCACAAAGTGCTAGGAGCACGTGCTAGAGCTGGCTCTTCACGAAGATCCCGCGTACCTTCTCTCTCCTCTTCTCTTTCCTTCAACTAAGTACAAATATACTATTTTATTCCTTATAGCCCGCTGACTCAGCTCTATTGTACTTGCTCTACTATGTTACTTTGCACTATAAAAACAGTAACTTAGACCAGCCTAATAGTATAGCGAGCTGCTGATAATATGAACATGTCATATCATCAAGATTTAGTATTATTAATTAGTCATACAATAGATAGGGTTGGCCATAAGGTTATAACTTTTTCTTGCTAGTTTTCCTTTATCTCTTTTCTCACAATAAATGATTTTACCTAGGAGCACGCATAGAGACTGGTTCTTGTATCAGAGCTCACTTTTACAAAAAAAAAATCATGTTTCTCTTCTCCACATAGGTAAAATTGCCATGTAAGTGGGTTTATGGTCCACTGTTGTACTCTCTCTGTCCCAAAATTTTTGTCTTAAATTTGTCTAGATACGTATGTATCAAGTTAAGTTTTAGTATTAGATATTCCCTCCGTCCCATAATATAAAAACGTTTTTAACACTAGTGTATTATGGGACGAAGGAAGTACATATGTATCTAAACAAATTTAAAACAAGAATTTTAAAACGGAGGAAGAACTTGTTAGCAGCAATAAAACATGGGCAATGATCAGTGTCGGTGCGTCGGCCCAAATTTGGGCCGGACGCGTAGCAGCCGTCCGATCTGTATCATGGGAGTCGTTGGATCTCGCCTGGTAGTTAGAAAAAAAAGGCCCTCGCCTCCTCATCCGCATGACTCCGTCCATGTCCGCGGCTCCGGCGAGGCGAACGACCGCCGGCTGCTCGCATCTCGCCGCCTTGCTGCGCTGCTCTTCCCCGATGTTTGCCAAAGAACTCTCCCCCGGTCACCATTAATTTCGGTTGCAGCTCCGACGTCGCTGGTTTCAATCCAACCCCGCCGATCTGTTCGAACCCCCGCCGTGGACGCGCTATGGTCCTAGTGCACCGCCTACCATCCCTTGCCATTGACGCTCGTCGCACGGGTTTCGCCAGGAACGACGGCCATCGGTCTTTGCCTAAAAAAAGAATGGATGTAACAAATTTCTCGCCCAGTCGTAGCAAAACCTGACGGCGGTTGCAGCAAAAACTTCATCACCATCGTCATCGGTCGAAGCTCCATCATGATGGATGTAGCAAAAAAATCTCATTAGTCGTAGCAAAATCGGACGACGGTTGCAGCAAAATGCCGTCGACGTCGTCGCGGGTTGCAACTTCACCATGAACGCATGTAGCAAATTTAATCATTGGTGGAAGCAAAAATCGACGACAGTTGTAGCAAAACGCCGTCGCCCGCGTCGCTGGTCACAGCTCCGCCGTGAATATATGTAGCAAAAAGGCTCCATGATTCCAGCATCTAAACATCACGGTTCCAACATTTGAACGCCATGTTGCAACACTTCCCTCCCCGTCGCTTGCGGTGACTCTCATGGCGGCCGTCGGTTGCAGCATCGGCGCCACTAGTTCTAGCATCTGCTCGTCGTGGGCGTAGCACCCCCTGTTGCCCTGGTCGTGTCCACCGCTGTGCGAGCACAGAGCAGAGAAGAGACATGTGGAGAGAGGAGGGGAATAAAACATGCTCGGGCAGGAGCTCTCATGGCTGCCTTGTAGAGAAAGAGAAAGGAGGACGAAAAGGCAAAGGAGAAGAAAGAGTCGCGTGGAGGAAGAAGATAAGTCATGTGAAAGGCCAGGTGATGGACCCCGCACAAAAACGTATGGCCAGGGATAATCGACTGGATTTCTATCCCAGCGCGCGCACGCGGCCGGCGGAAAGTTAGTACGGACTGCCGGCGGAAAACGTTTCCCATAAAACATACCCGACTCCCTCTGGTCTGAGCCTCAAGCTTTGATCATTCCAGTCCTTCCCTCCAACTTCTATACGCCTCTCGCACCTGTGGTGCGCCGTACGCAAAGGCATGGGTGCCGCTGGGCGGAAGTTGGTCGCGCTACCGGCGCTCGGGTGGTGGCTCGTGGTGGTCGGCACCGTCCGCCTCGTCTTCGCCTGGTCCGGCTTCTTCGACGCCTGGGCGGTCCGCTACGGCACCTACTCCAACACGCACGGTGCGCCCTCGATCTTTCTCATCTTCCTGTATACATGTAGCCTTGGCTAACAAGCGTGCGCGCGTGCAGTGACTGATGTGCATGCGCGTACCGTTGGGGTGTGGACGCTTCTGTCGTGCACCCTCTGCTTCCTCTGCGCCTTCAACCTCGACAACAAGCCGCTCTGCGCCGCAACTCTCTTGTCCTTCGTCTACGCCTATGGCCATTTCGTCGCGGAGTACCTGGTGTACCGTACCATCACCGCAGCAAGCCTCGGCACGCTCGGCTTCTTTGCAGGTGACTAAATGGACTCTGCGCTAATGATCACGGTGCGGTGTATCTAGTACTCCCTCCGTCTCAAATTAAGTGACTCAATTTTATACTAGGTTTAGTATAAAATTAGTACAAAGTTGAGTCACTTATTTTAGAACGGAAGGAGTAGATAGATACCAATAACTGGTTGCAGTGAAATCCTCCTCCTAAAGATGACTTGCTCAGAACATATACTTAACCAGTTAATCTCTTGCATGGATGTAGTTCTTATTGACTTTTAGAAAATTTGACTGAGCTTATAGAAAAAATATCTGCGCCCATAATTTTAAATAAATATCATTAGATGGACCATGAGATATATGTTTATACTGTATTCTCTCTTATGCTTGCAGTCCCATCGATCATATGGACGCTAGTCCATTGGAGGAACACTCTTGGCTACCGTGCTACGAAGCGGTCATGAGCTTGTTCCACTGTTACCGCCTCGTCAATTGATGGGGCCTTCAGAAATTGCCAATGAACAGAATAAATTTCGCTGCAAATCTGTTTTTGTTTACTTTTGTCGTGTGTACACTGTATTATTCCATCCATGAAACTATTAAAGGAAGAGTACCGACACGGTTTTATGATCTCTTGTTATGCCTTTGCCACTCTACTTTATGTGTCATGAATAGGAATAGGAACTCTCCGCTGCCATGCACCCTATATGAATAGTAAAGTTTTTAAAAATACAAAAAAAAGTAATCTAAAAATTCGGGGTATCACACCTGGTCAACCATTCTATTCCTGTGTAAAGTTCCGTGAAGAAATGACATCCATAGTACTCTCAGCAAAAATGACAAAAAACAATTCTATAAAAAAATGTTTGAATGAATTGTAAGTTGGACTATATTTTCTTCATTGTGAATATCACGGATTTAATTTCTTCGCGGAACTTCGTACATGAGTAGAATGAACGACCAGGTTTGGTACCCAAAATTTCAGAATTTTTTTTCTAGTTTTTTTATTTTACCATTCATATGGGGTGCATGGCAACCGAGAGCTCCTATGCATTTCCGCCTTCATTTATTACTTTATAGTCATTTTCCATATGAAGTTATACATGATGGTAAAATATTATGTTACTTACTTTATCTCTTTCGTCTTTAATTACTTCCTACATAAAAAAATCATGTGATATGCATGTTATGATCTATGTTACTCCCACTAAGAATAGTCTCAGTCATGCCGTGAGAGCTATCTTGATCGCCCCCAAATTCGAAGTTAGACTACAAATCCGAGTATAAAAACGAAACGGATGCATCACTTCGGGTTCATTCGGTTTGGAGGAATTAAAAGGAAAAAACAATGCATGATATCAGTTTTTAGGTTTTAATCCTCACCTTCGCTTCCGTCGTCACCGCCGCCGCCGCCGTGTGCTTCCTCACGCGTCACCGCCGCCGCTCGTGCGTCCCCCGCACTGGTCGCGCCACCTCCCCGCTAGCCGTCGCTTCTCCCGATCGCCATCTTCCTGCTAGCCCCGCCCGCGATCTGATACGTCCATTTTGCATCATGTTTTTATATCGATATTTATTGTATTATGGGCTGTTATTACATATTATGTCACAATACTTATGACTATTCTCTTTTATTTTACAAGGCTTACATGAAGAGGGGGAATGCCGGCAGCTGGAATTCTAGGCTGGAAAAGGAGCAAATATTAGAGACCTATTCTGCACAACTCCAAAAGTCCTGAAACTTCACGGGAGCACGTTTCAGAATATATAAAAAATATTGGGTGAAAGAAGTATCAGAGAGGGGCCACCCACCGTCCACGAGGGTGGGGGGCGCGCCCCCTACCTCATGGGCCCCTGGTGGACCTCTGATGCCCATCTTTGGCTATACGGAGTCTTTCGTCGAGGAAAAAATCAGAAGCAAACTCACGGGACGAAACTCCGCCGCCACGAGGCGGAACCTTGGCGAAACCAATCTAGGGATCCGGTGGAGCTGTTCTACCGGGGAAACTTCCCTCCGGGAGGGGGGAATCATCACCATCGTCATCACCGACGATCCTCTCATCGTGAGGGGGTCAATCTCCATCAACATCTTCATCAGCACCATCTTATCTCAAACCCTAGTTCATCTTTTGTATCCAATCTTTGTATCAAAACCTCAGATTGATACCTGTGGGTTGCTAGTAGTGTTGATTACTCCTTGTAGTTGATGCTAGTTGGTTTACTTGGTGGAAGATCATATGTTCAAATCCATTATGCATATTAATACCCCTCTGATTATGACCATGAATATGTTTTGTGAGTAGTTATGTTTGTTCCTGAGGACATGGGAGAAGTCTTGATATAAGTAGTCATGTGAATTTGGTATTCGTTCGATATTTTGATGAGATGTATGTTGTCTTTCCTCTAGTGGTGTCATGTGAACGTCGACTACATGACACTTCACCATTGTTTGGGCCTAGAGGAAGGCATTGGTAAGTAATAAGTAGATGATGGGTTGCTAGAGTGACAGAAGGTTAAACCCTAGTTTATGCATTGCTTCGTAAGGGGCTGATTTGGATCCATATGTTTCATGCTATGGTTAGGTTTACCTTAATACTTCTATTGTAGTTGCGGATGCTTGCAATAGGGATTAATCATAAGTGGGATGCTTGTCCAAGTGAGGGTAGTACATAATCACCGGTCCACCCACATATTGAATTATCAAAGTACCGAACGCGAATCATATGAGCGTGATGAAAACTAGCTTGACGATAATTCTCATGTGTCCTCGGGAGCACTTTCCTTTATATAAGAGTTTGTCTAGGCTTGTCCTTTGCTACAAAAAGGATTGAGACATCTTGCTGCAACTTATTTACTTTTATTACTTGTTACCCGTTACAAATTACCTTATCACAAAACTATCCGTTATCGATAATTTCAGTACTTACAGAGAATACCTTGCTGAAAACCACTTATCATTTTCTTCTGCTCCTCGTTGGGTTCGACACTCTTACTTATCGAAAAGGCTACGATAGACCCCCTACACTTGTGGGTCATCAAGACTCTTTTCTGGCGCCGTTGCCGGGGAGTGAAGTGCCATTGGTAGGTGGAATTTGGTAAGGAAAAATTTATATAGTGTGCTGAAATTTACTGTCACTTGTTACTATGGAACATAATGCTTTGAGGGGCTTGTTCGTGGTATCTTCACCCCGACCAGTAGAGCAAAGAGTTGCTCCTCAACCTACTGAACCTACTGAAAATGTTTACTTTGAAATTCCTTCGGGTATGATAGAGAAATTGCTAGCTAATCCTTTTATAGGAGATGGAACATTGCATCCCGATTTGCACCTAATCTATGTGTATGAAGTTTGTGGATTATTTAAGCTTGCAGGTATGCCTGAGGATGTTATCAAGAAGAAGGTCTTCCCTTTATCTTTAAAGGGAGAGGCATTGACATGGTTTAGGCTATGTGATGGTTTGGGATCATGGAACTACAACCGATTGAAATTGGAATTTCATCAGAAGTTTTATCCTATGCATCTTTTTCATCATTATCGTAATTATATATATAATTTTTGGCCTCACGAAGGAGAAAGCATCGCTCAAGCTTGGGGGAGGCTTAAGTCAATGTTATATTCATGCCCCAATCATAAGCTCTCAAAAGAAATGATAATTCAAAATTTTTATGCTCAGCTTTCTCTCAGTAATCGCTCCATGCTCGATACTTCTTGTACTGGTTTTTTTATGATGAAGACTATTGAATTCAAATGGGATTTATTAGAAAGAATTAAACGCAATTCTGAAGATTGGGATCTCGACGAAGGTAAGGAGTCAGGTATAACACCCAAGTTTGATTGTGTTAAATCTTTTATGGATACTGATGATTTCCGTGAATTTAGCACTAAATATGGACTTGACTCTGAGATAGTAGCTTCTTTCTGTGAATCCTGTGCTACTCATGTTGATCTCCCTAAGGAGAAGTGGTTTAAATATAATCCTCACATTGAAGTAAAAGTACTTGCACCTATTAAAGTTGAAGAAAAGACTATTACTTATAATGATCATGTTGTTCCTACTGCTTATATTGAGAAACCACCTTTCCCTGTTAGAATAAAGGATCATGCTAAAGCTTCAACTGTGGTTCGTAAGAGTAACACTAGAACACCTACTCCCTTTGAGCAAATTAAAATTGAACCTAGTGTTACTATGGTTAAATATCTCTTGGCCGATAATATTGATGGGCATGTTATTTACTTCTGTGATGAATCTGCTAGAATTGCTAGACACGGTACTAAAAATAAACATAGACCTGTTGTAGGCATGCCTGTTATTTCTGTTAAAATAGGAGATCATTGCTATCATGGCTTATGTGGTATGGGTGCTAGTGCAAGTGCAATACCTCATTCCTTATACAAAGAAATTATGCATGATATTAAACCTGCTGAGATAGAAGAGATTGATGTTATAATTAAGCTTGCCAATAGAGATACTATTTCACCAGTTGGGATTGTTAGAGATGTTGAAGTCTTGTGTGGGAAAGTTAAATATCCTGCTGATTTTCTTGTTCTTGGTTCCCCACAAGATAACTTTTGTCCCATTATATTTGGTAGACCCTTCTTGAATACTGTTAATGCTAAGATAGACTGCAATAAGGATATTGTTTATGTTGGTTTAGGGGATATGTCTCATGAATTTAATTTTGCTAAGTTTCGTAGACAACCCCATGATAAAGAATTGCCTAGTAAAGATGAAATTATTGGTCCTTCTTCTATTGTCGTGCCTCCTAGTGATCCTTTAGAACAATATTTGCTAGACCATGAAAATGATATGTTTATGAATGAAAGAAGGGAAATAGATGAAGTAACAGAGACCTATTTTGAAGCACAACTTGCCTGTTGAAATCTTAGGGGATCCTCCTCCACCTAAGGGTGATCCCGTGTTTGAGCTTAAACCTTTACTTGATACTCTTAAATATGGTTATCTTGATGAGAAAGAGATATATCTTGTTATTATTAGTGCTAACCTTTCGGAGCATGAAGAAAAGAAATTATTGAAAACTCTGAAGAAGCACCGTGCTGCTATTGGATATACTCTTGATGATCTTAAGGGCATTAGTCCCACTCTATGCCAACACAAAATAAAACTGGTGAAAGATGTTAAACTGGTTGTTGATCACCAACGACGGTTAAATCCTAAGATGAAAGAAGTGGTAAGAAAAGAAATACTAAAGCTTCTAGAGGCAGGTATAATTTATCCCGTTGCTGGTAGTCAGTGGGTAAGTCTTGTACATTGTGTCCCTAAGAAGGGAGGTATTACTATAGTTCCCAATGATAAAGATGAATTGATCCCACAAAGAATTGTTATAGGTTATAGAATGGTAATTGATTTCTGCAAATTAAATAAAGCTACTAAAAGGGATCATTACCCTTTACCATTTATTGATCAAATGCTAGAAAGATTATCCAAGCATACACATTTTTTGCTTTCT